TTGCATATACGTCGCCATCGTTTTGCTGCTCCCTCCCCGTTCTGTGATTGGTTCCCTATCTCAGGGGAAAATGTGGTTCATGGTGTCCAGGCTGCCTTGCAGCGTGAATAAGATCGTGCTGCAGCTAGGCAGAATGAGGAAACCCAGGACTTATCCATAGACAACTAAAAACAAACAAATATTTAGCAAACTAACTTTCAATATTAATTGTAAAGGGCTTTCACTGTGTGGTTGAGTTATCAACTGATGAGCATAAATCCTCTCTGTCTGCATATGAGAGAGAGTGAGAGTGAGTACTTGCATCTACTGTGTTTACGTGAATACTCGAGCATTTTGATATTTCTGTATTTATTTGGCAAGGTGCGCAACCGAAGACAAAGGCTACAATGCTTTTCTGTGTGTTGCGATCAGAGTGCAGCATCCTGCCAGTAATTCCGTTCTCTTTCACAGCTTAACACGCTTTTAATATTTCTTCTTTTCAATATCAAGCACATCCTGCTCTTTTTTTCTCATTTCTTCATTTTTTGTTATTGAAAAGTTTAAACAGAATCGTCAACTGAAATATGCGTGGGTTATCAAAAATGTTGCACATTTATCATGTCATAAAGGGTCTCTGTGGATAAAGTGAAAGTATTAAAAGTTTATATTTCCCTCCGTTAAAAAAGTTCATCTCACTGAGCTCAGAAATTACATCTCGAGCCACTAAGTTGACTGTTCGGGGCGAGTGCAAGATTCCTCGGTGTAAACAAACAGTTTTTGGCAGCTCAGCTTTCGCATGTGTGGCCATCAAACAGTGGAACGAGTTGCTAACAGAACTGACCATGTGTGTAAATTTTAGCACTGTTTCACATTGGGCCAAAAAATTGCTTATTTTAAAACAAACATGTTCCCATAATGTATTGTAATTGATGTGTATTTGAAAATGAATGCCAAAGAATGAATGAAAGCTTTAGCTTGTTTTTTATATATAATTTGTATGTTGTTGTTTTTTTGTTTTTGTTTTTTTGTGTAAAAGGATTATTTATATGTATATCTGTTGACATCAGCCTGCCCAGGCACTACAGGTGGAATTTAGCACAATTCCTACAACCTGGTAAAATGCATCTCTCCTTTTTAAGGTTAATGTATATTTTGCATTGTCCCTGCTCAAAAATAAATAAATGAAATATTTGCTGCTTTTCGTCATTTGGCCTACCTTAAACAAGCTGCAGCTGCTTGAATTCCAGTGCAAGAGCTGTATGTTATCACAGAGACAAGTGGTTAGTTGATTGCTCTGATGACTCGTAACTCTCACGAGCACGACCAGCACCGAATACGCACTTTTGCCGGTACAACATGAATATAGTTATTATCATTAACTTTTCATTAACTTCGGTAGACTGTACTACAAGGGCATTGTAACTGGCAGATTTTTCTGCAGAGAACCCATATCTATTGATCTGTCTTATTTTTTTATCACTCGTTTCTTTTTAAAGGGTGAGAGACCTTGCGATAGCCAGGTTCCCGACCGCTGAGCTGAACACTAACTAAACTAGACACTAACTAAACTTGACTTCCATGTCCCATCTGAAACTGCCTTAAAGTTCCCATGAAATCAAAATTGACATGTTTTGGCTTTTAGTGTGAATATGTTAGCCTTAAGATTGTCAATAAGCTCCAAAACTATGACAAAAGATATAATCGCATTTAGAAGATGTAAGGGTCCAAAACGTACACACTCTCACTCTCACCAATATGGATTTAACGATTTTGATGACATCGCTGCACTTCAGCTTCTCATCAGATTATCAGTCCAATCAAATGCTGTCAAGAATCTAAAACATCCCACCTGCAACATTATAAAGACACTTAAGCTGCAGCTGAAATTGGTCACTTATCACAAAATTACTATTTTCTACATAGTGAATGGTACATATAGTCGATAAGGAATGATTCAGAGAGTGTAAATATGCTTTTAATTGGGGGTGATGAAGTCATTTGAATAGCCATGGAATGCACACAGTCTGTTCTGACTAGACAGAGACATGATAGCGCTCTGTGCTGTGATCATATGCGCAAATCACACAGAAAACACAAAAGGTATTGGACCCTTTTGAATTGTACACAGAATTATATATTTTAAAGGGATATGGAGAAGATTAGGAGGAGAAAAAGTTAGATAGTATCGGCATTAAAAACAGCATGATTTTTTTTATTAAGGGTAATCTATTAGACTCTGGCTGTCAGATGCTGCTTTGTCAAGCTCAACGGCTCTAGGCGAGCTGTGATATAAACAAAGCGCTATTGCAGGGGTGCCCAATCCTGCTCCTGGCGATCGACTGTCCTGCACAGTTCATCTCCAACCCTAATCAAACACACCTGAATGTGATCCTAAAGACCTTAATTGGCTACTTCAGGTGTGTTTGATTAGGGTTTGAGATGAACTGTGCAGGACAGTCGATCGCCAGGAGCAGGATTGGGCACCCCTGCGCTATTGGCTATTTTAAAAAGGGTGATGAGCTGCTCGATATGTTGCACCCGGTCTTCCTGTTTCGGTGGAAATAACATCAACACATTACATAGGACCTTTAATGCTAGCTCCGAGCATGCACCATTTGAGGCTGTAATGTTTATATTTGCACAGGAAGAGTGGATTGCGACTTTGATACTGAGTGCATTTGGACGTATTCTTCCAAACTGTCTGTACTCTGTAGACAATATAACACTGAATCTTCTTTTCACCTTTCGATGTCCGCTCTGTGTATAAAGGAGCTGGTTGAGTCTCCAACATGGAGAGTAGATAAGATGACAGAGGAGGTGCGATTGGCAAAATGTTAGCGACATTTATTTTTAATGGGGTAATAGATCACATAACCAAAATGATCGAGGTCATGTGCATTTGCGATGAGTCAATATATTATTTTGACAGGCCTACTGCCCATGTCTAGAACTCTGATCTAAAGTAAGGTTATGGCCAAATTCTGAATATTATATGATGAGAAAGTAGATCAGAATAATGTTATTTGTGCTGAAAATGTGGGAATGCAGATTTTTGGAAATAGTATAAATGTCGGTGCATAAAACTGAAAATTAACTGGATAAACATGAACAGGTTTTGTGAAGGTAAATTTAAGACTTTTTAACCCTCAATCGGGTCATGGGGTCTATACGACCCCAATCGACTTTTACTTAATAAAAAAAAGGTTCCCTTCATCTGAGTGGAATAAGATTTTGTGACTTTTCATACATTATCGATCTATACACGCACACAAAACTGGGCTTGATTCGGTTGTTCTGAAGGTATGTAAAAAAAAAAAAAAATTACACTTCTTGTCTTCGGGAAATTAAGGCCTTGTACTAGAGCATAAATGCAATGTATCATAAAATTATATTTCATAAGCAAGCTAATGGTGTGTAGGAATTGTGTGGTATATGGATACAAAAGGACTTTATTTCTCCAAAAACACAGCATTATTGAATAGATGAGAAGTAAACAAAAAATATACATTATTTGTATGATTTAAAAATGTATATTTTTTGTACAATTACTCAATCAATTGTTGGTGTCGTATTGACCCCGAAGCCCAGACTTGTAAACAGGAAACGGAGACCATTTGAAGGTTAAAGACCTTTTCAAGACATCAAGACAAATTAAGGGATTAACTGAAGTGAAAACAATACAATAGTGTGCTCGAAGGGTGTTTTCACACCTGCCTCATTTTGAGTGTTGTTTGATGTTCTCCCTTAGTTCGTTTCATTTAGGCAAATATGATCATGGCAAATGCGATCGGGATTCGCTCCAAAACAATCGTTTAGAGATCGACTGAATGTGGTTGTCTCGGCCCAATTAAAAACAAACTCTGGGGCAGTTCGGTTGAGGTGAGAAAGCAATTTAACCCAACGAACCAACAAACCAGCGGTATCATAATTCATAACGGGAAATGTGTTATATACACTTTAGAGTTTTAAATTACAGTTTCAACAGATATTCATTACTTAAAATTCATTTTACAAATAAAAAGTAGCTTTAATCACTTGCTCCCAACCACTACAATATGGAAATATCGTTTACTCCACCCTCTACAAAAAAGTGATTTTGTCTTGTTTTCCAGTGCAAATGTCTAAAGATTCTTAAAGCTGCAGTAAGCAATTTATGAGAAACACTGTTGATATTTTAAATCAAGCCAAACAAACTCCTTTCTTAATTTCTCCGCCTCCAAATGCACACGCGCATAATGCATGAGTGGGTGTCTCTGTAAAGCTCTTGTCTGATCATAACCCTTCTTTTTCCAGTGATTTTTCTCTCACCTTTTCTCTTTTGTAATGTCTCAGTCCTCACTCTTTCTACAGTCTTTCTTCAAATCTTGCTCTTTAAGGGGCCGTTCACATATCGCGCCTAAAAATGCGTAGAAAACGCGTCTGTCATTGCTAAGCAACCATCAGCTGCGCTCTCCATTACATGAAGGAAGTTTCAGCAATGGATTTCCACCACCGAAAAACCTTTGCTGTAACTCTGTTACAAGATTTATTTACTCAGAAAAGTAAAAAAACGCCGCAGTGTTTGGGTGCACCCCATACTACAAAAACGCAAGAACCATGGGGAATTTCACCAGCTGATTCAGGAACTCCGCCTGGACAATGGGAGGTTCAAAGCCTATTTCAGAGTGGACAAGGACCAGTTTGATTATATTTTAAGAAGAGGTAACAAAAATGGCGAGGAAGCTGATTGGTTGACGTGACACGTGACCTACGGTGCGCTTGCGGCATTCTGAAAAGTTGAGATGTTTTTATCTCGATGCGGCGCGGACGCGCCTGGAAAAAACGAGCGCGTCGCACCGCGACCGCGTCGCTTCCATTATGAGCGCGCATACCGCGCGCCTACATTTGAAATAACGAACTTGAGCGCGCAAAAGACGCGATATGTGAACCGGCCCTAAGGCCTTAATTTGTGTAATGGTGAATTGAGACCTGCAGAAACCCTGAAGTTTATGATTTCTTGTTTGTTGTGCATTTGTGTTTAGGAAACAAGAGGTAGTCTTCCAGCTGGTCAGAAATCTGGGTGGTTTTACCGTGGTCGATAATGTGTGTGAAAGCACCACTCATGTGGTGTCCGGCAGCCCACGGCGGACACTTAATATCCTGTTAGGCATTGCACGTGGCTGCTGGATCCTCTCCTTTGAGTGGGTGTGTATATTGCTTATTACTTTGTATGATTTTTTTCCTAAATGTGATAAACATCATTCTGTAAAGATATAAGTGATAGTTAATATACTATTGTTTTTGTTTGTTTGTTTGTTTTTATCTGTTGTTATCTGTTGTATCTGTTGTTGCAGATCCTATGGTGTTTGGAGCACAGGCAGTGGGTTCCTGAAGAACCTTATGAGCTATCCGATCATTTTCCAGCTGCGCCTGTAAGTACACTTCAATTTAGTAATGTTAATCAAAATTACGAAAAATACACAGAAAGCAATAAGCACTACACACCCACTCAAAGGACAGGATCCAGCAGCCACATGCAATGCCTAACAAGTTAATAAGCATCCACCTTGGGCTGCCGGACACTACATGAGTGGTGCTTTCACACACATTATCGACCACTGTAAAACCACCCAGATTTCTAACCAGCTGGTAGACTACCTCTTGCTTCCTAAACAATTTGCACAACAAACAAAAATCATAAACTTTAAAATAAATAAATAAATGGTCATAAATAAAGATCTGAGGCTATGTTCAGACTGCAACATAGCCACAGATCTTTATTCATGGCCATTTCATCTGCATCCAATACATTGATTACGAGAGCTCATTGTTTGAGTACCATCTAATCTACCCAGATTTTAATATGTGGCCTTGTTAGGAGAAGATTAACAATAATCTCTTCACACATGACTGGATTTGGATAATCAGTAATTTACAATAGGGATGTTTTGTCCCAATTATGACCACACAGGAGAGTTGTTGTACTTTTTTTAAATATACAAATTATATTACATAGTGAGATATTTTGCAATGTGTATTGTAGTTAGGGCTGCACGTTTTCAAGTTTTTCATTAACCGTTAACCGAGGCCCTTGTCGGTTAATACTCGGTTAACCATGTGCGCGCCGCAACCTCGAGATACAGAGTTAATTTTTAACACCTTTAATAACTGGTTGGACCCCATTTGAAACGAAATTAATTTATAGAAATAAAACGCAGTGGTAAGTTCCGAGCAGTTAAAGTAGGCGCGTTTCCAACACCCTTCAAACTGAAATTGCCCATTGAAAATACGCACATTGACAACACGTCCATTTCGCAAAAACTCCGTATCCGCAAATAATAATAATAATCATCATTATTGTAACATTTTATTAGGCTGCATATGTAGAAGACGCTTTTATCCAAAAAAGGAACAAAGCACAAATAAACACAATATTTTGACGCATATCCAGTGTGTGTGCTTAGTGTGGAGGCTGCGAGACGCCCATGTGAACACTTGCAGTTTCATTGCAGTTCTTTCAGTGGAAACAACTTAAAATACTCTTTAATTTCTGGTCATACAGAAAATAATAATACATTATTCGCAAATACATTTATTTGCGTAAACTCACAATAACAAGAAAACGTTGTGCTTTAACAAACAGGCGCGCTTCATGATTTCCGTGAACTGTAGCGCGAGAACTGAAACAGACACCGCATTCGAATTTGTTCGTTTTAAATTGGACATTTAAAGCTTTTGTAGGCTAAAGCTTTAAATGTCCAATTTAAAACGAACAAATTCGAATCGAAAGCCAATATCTTCTGACTATGTAATTATGTAGTCAGCTAATTATGTATTTCTCTCTAAAGGTGCATCCGGGGATGGAGATTTGTTTTTAGCAGAAACTGATTTAGAAAACAATAGTTTATTAATAAACAATTAATGCCTCGTTATGTTATATTATTTTATTATCAGACACATTTATTATATCTTATAAATCATCTAAATCCCCTTTCTGTAGGCTGTGGTTACGGCTCTTCTCATTCAGCATTGCGGGGGAAAATCATTTCCAGGTTCTAATCTGGCCTCAGAAAACCAGTAAAATCTTTTTTTTCCCATATTCATTTGTCAAATATTTTAAATGTTTAAAGGGGCAAAAAATCAAACAAATATCTGAAAATTCGTCGATATATAGCCTATATATTTTTGCGCAGCATTTGACGTAGTCCTACAGTTCAAATTAACATTTTGGTGTTCAACTCTGCGTTTTACAAAATACAACAACCGTTCATTTTTCGTTTTGCAATTAGGCCTACGGATTAAATAAGGGGAAACGAATGAACACAAAAGTAGACCTTTTGGACATATACGAGGCAGAGTTCTTTTTTAAAATTCATAAAGGATACAAGGAATAGCCTACTAGACAAAACCTCAAAGAAATGCCACAATCAAGACCGCGGAGCAGAAATAAGGGAGAAACACACAGAAACTCTGTGACTGTCCCTGCCATTAATGCTTGGATGACACACCACGTCTCCTTTTATAAATAATAATAATGTTTAGTGCGGTGGCTGTGATAGACTACCAACGTCCGTTGCCATTATTTTTGGAATGGCTTATCGCGAAAGGAAAAAAAAAATGTTTTATGGATGGAAATGTAAATGTTAATGGAAACGCTGTCATTTCACAATGTTTTTTTATCGACAATCAGAAGAAAAAAAATGCAAAAGTTTTGTGCAAATATGTATTGACGCCACTTAACCGAGCAAAAAGGTTTCACTCGGTTATCCAATTTTAAACGGTTAATCGGTAAACCGGTTAACCATGGACACCCCTAATTGTAGTAAATACAGCTAAATTTGGAATATTGGAAGATATTAGATATGAAGTGAACCTGCAGTGTTTTGCATTCACAATGCATATAAAAAAACTCTGTGGACATAAAGGAAACTAAACTCAGAGCACCTCCTGATGGCCCTGATGAGAGCATTTGCAGTGCTTGCATAAAATTTTCAGACCACTGACGCTGAAAAGAATGATTGGAAACTTTTTGCATCAACATCGTGAGAAGTGCTTGTGCTTGCGGTTGAACATCTAAACATACAAAATACAACAAATGAGATTCCTATCGACAGATTTTCTTCCGTCTGTTCTTCAAAATGTAATCGTGTGTATTTTGATATTAATGCAGTACAGGTAGTGACATCAATCTGTGATCTCCTAGTAGTGGTTTACATTACACACAGGTTACCATTTTATGATTAATTTAACAAAAGAAAATAACTATCTGTAAAATCCTTCTTTTTTGTCTCATATATAGCACACTTGCAGTAATGTGTATGCAACATAATTAGACACTGCTGCATTTTATGTAATACATTACAAATTATGAAGTACAGATGGCACTCAACTAGAATATATTTTTTGCTGCCTTGGGTGTTGGTTGTGCCAGCCAATACATTTCTGCTCTTGAACACTAAATGGCTCTATAACCATAAATTTGACAACTTTCACTAGTACTGGTAATGCCTGTATTTCATTAAAGTATTCTTAATATATATTAGCCTGTTTTTTTCTCCTTGCAAAAATGGTTCAGTATCAGCCTTTCAAAACACTTCATAATAATATGTGTCAAAGCAACCGGTCATTCAAGCATTTTGCTGTAGATTTCTTTGGCACAGGGATAATAGGAGTTGATTTGAAACAAGTTGGGAAACTATAGCCTGTTGAAGTGAGTTATTGAATGAAAGTTATCGGTGAAAACGTGCTAGCTGTTTCAGCACACTTTTAAAATCCTTCCCTGTACTCCATCTGGTTCAGCTTTAGCTGCTTTCTTGATGTAAGTTTTATTCAGAGTGGACCTTGCTTGATGTGGGTGCAGAATGAGTGCTTACCCTGTCTGCAGCGGTGCAGTAAAGGTGGTGGTAGGGCTGTTGTTTCCGTTATCAAAACAAGTAAAGAAATGGTTTAGGACATTAGGGAAAGCGGTATCATTGTTGGGCATCTTGCTGTTACCACCACTCTTGTAATTAGTGATTGCCTTGATTCCTTTCCAAATGGTGCAGGATTCATTTTTGTTGAAAAGATCCTCAATATGCTGTTTATAGTGGCGCTTTGCAACCTTGATGCCCTTCCTGTTTTCCTTTTGCATTTCTGTATGCCTCTATGTCCCCAGATTTAAAAGCAGTAGCCCCCAGCCTTTCTAAGAGTTTTAACCTCACTATTAAACCAAGGGTTCTTTTTAAAATACACTTTGATGGTTCAAAATGTGATGTGTGACAGGACTGTCGAGGCATATTCCTCTAGGTTAGCTCCTTGTGCAAAGGTGTCCCATTCAGTGTTTTCAAAAGTTTAACCCTCTGAGGTCTAGGGTGTTTTGGGGTCCTAGTCTAGATGGAATATACCCAAAAAGTGAAAGTGAGGAGCATTTATGGGTACAAGTCGGGTACCGGCCTATCTTACATATTTCCAGGGTGTTGAGTCCAAAAAAACTGGTAACCAAGTGAAATTTTGGGTGTTTTACCTTCTAATTTGCATATCAAAATGGTTGGCAAATTGATATCTTGCACAGTCGTTGGACCATTTTCTCCTTGTTTTTTTTTTTGTAAGTAGGCAATCAAGATGAGGAAATTAAGTTTCTAGATTGATAGTCAAGGGTCAGAGCAAAGATATATTGGAGGCTCACTGCCTTTATATTTTCAAAATACCAACTTTTAAGGTGAGTCACTAGGTGAATAGGGTACAATTTTTAAATAGATATCACCATGAAACTTCCTCAGTTGATTACTTACAAGTATATAAGAAATTGTATTATAAGTTTTTGAAATTTGTTTATTTAATTATGCAAATTATGCATTATCTCATTAAATATGAGCAATTTTGCATATATTTAATTAGGCAAATTAGGCATTATCTCATTAAATATGAGCAATTTTGCATATATTTTCGGTAGATAGATCTGAACATATGATAAATCAAGGTGCAACATTTTTTGTATTTTTTTTTACGCACAAGATGAAAAAAAAAAATACCTAGGAAATCAAATTACCTAGGAAATCAAAAGATACTGTCCATAACTAAAAGGCGCTCAAAGTATAAAATGGGGCAC